TGTTTGAGGGGTTGGCCATAAGGATGCTGATAATGACAGCAGTGAAGAAGAGCAGCAGTTGCTGTTTATGAACAGCTTTAAGTGTCCTGGTTCCTTGACTCTCACAGCTGGATTAAGCCGGGACCTGAGGTGGGCACTGTCATTAGCCCCTTTTATAGATGATAGCAGTTGGCCACCAACAATGCTCCTTACATTTGTGGGGGGCTCCCAGCCTGATGCAGCTGAGCACTGAGGCCAGTGGCACACAGCAGTGCTGAGGCCACGTGCACACAAGGCTCTCTCCCCAGGGCACCTTTCCTCCAAGGGTCACATGCAAGTGCAGTGCAGGTCCTGAACAGAGAGGGCCAAGAGCAGTGAGGAGCTCAGCCCAGCAGGCTCATCTCCTCCTGGATGACAAGGGCCTCCCAGCTCTAAGCTGCAGAGGTGCAAGATGGCTTTCAGCACTTTTACATTGAGAGCCAGCTCCCCACCAATTTGAAGGGCCCCTAAGGCCATGCCAGCCTCTGACCATACAAGCAGCTGGCGGGGAGAATGCATGGATTCATGAGGCAGAGTTAGCAGCGATCTTGGAGTTTGTCTCTTGGGAAGATAACTACTTCCGTTTTTCATGCTCTCCTTTAGAACTTGTTCAAGTACATTGTGGGAAATCCTAGGGCACACACAATTTTGTATCTTTATTTTTAAATTGCAGAATTTAGGAAATTATTTTATGCTATTTTTATTCAACCACAGATAGCTATGAGCAATTCTGGTGTTTCTACATAGCTTCACTATTATCCTTTTAATGACTATGTTATCTCTTGTATTTTACTCTCTCCCAATTTACTAAGCCTGCAGGAGGATACTTAGGCTGTTTCCTGGTTTGTGGCTGTAATAAATAACACTGCCACGAACACCTCCAAGGATGCAGCTTATGGAGATGATTCATTCTTTATGAAAGGGGTTGGTCTAGTGTTGTGTGGGGAACAGTTTGATTTTAAGCCCTTGGGCACACATGTCTGTTTATTTATGCGGTCTCCTAGCTATGAAAAGGTGAGGGGTATATAGCAAGGAGACTGGGCATGGAGTTTGGGATTCCAGTCCCACCTCTGTGACTTTGTAGGAGAGTGAGCATGAACACAGGACACAATTTCTCTGAACCCCAGTTTCCTCATTTGCGCAATGGCTACAACGCAGCCCTTTCCAGGGAGTCCCATGGCTCAGGGCCTCGCTGCCCTGAGGTCCCTGGTCCAATGGATGCACCTCCCTGTGAAAGGCCCTGGGACCTCTGTCTGAAAGCCTTCTCCATCACCTTGCCTGGCTTGATTTCCCTTCAGAGCGCTTACCCTCTCACTTCATCAGCTAGGTAGCCAACACAAAATGCCACAGACTGTGGGTTTAAACAACAGATACTTAATTCTCACAGTTCTGGAGGCTGGAAGTCTAAGATGGACGTGCCAGCGGATATGGTATCTGATGAGAGCCCACTTCCTGCCTGTAGATGTCAAGTCCAAGCTGTGTCCTCACCTGTCAGAGAGCAGAGAGGAAACAAGCTCTCTCATGACTCTTTTAAGGCCACTAATCCCATCCTGAGGCCTCTACCCCTCAAGACTGCTTCTGTTCCTAATTGCCTCCCCAAGACCGCACTTACCACCATGTTAGGAGGTCGGGATTCCACCTGTGAATTTGGGGGAGGACAGAAACATTCAGTCCATACTTCATCACCTGGCATATTACTTGTTTCTTTGTCTGTTTATTCACTTTTCTTCTTCCCCCAACGCTCGCGAGCATGTGCACTACAGGAGAGCAAACTCTCTGCCGAAAAGCCCGAGCCTGGACTATGCCTGGGGGCACACTTGGCCTGCAGACAGCTGCCTGTCTGTCGTTTGCACTTCTGGGAGACCAAGGGAGTGGAAGCGTGGGAGTCTTGTGTTACTCAGTGGAGGTTGGAGGCATGATGATAGGATATGCATGTATATGGTAACCTGGTTCCTCTTCCCATTGTGAGTCTGGTGGAAAGCAAATTCTTGGAATCCTCTTAAAATGTTTAGGGAATCAGAGGCAAGAGTGCAGCCAAGGTGACAGCACCAGGCAGGTCTGCCTGGTAGCTAAGAGGAGCCACATCTATGTGGACCCCCCTGAAGCACTTCTTTGTCCTGTCCCCCTTAAAATTAATTTCATAGTGTAGTTTAACTTTCAGTTTTTACACACAGCTATACATCCATAGTAGTGTAAGGAACCACCTTCCCCTTCCAAATCACCAGAGGCAACAACTTGCAACCGATTCTTTTCATATTTATCTGTACGTGCCTAAGTGGTCTCTTTGGTCCTCCCTTTCAATTTATTTGCTCCTGTGATGGGCAGTCCGGGTACGTGTCTCCCACCACACCTGTCCTCCAGCCCACGCCCTTCCTGTGGCCCCATCCCTCCCTCCCTCCCAGAGTCTACCACAAACTCAGTTAGATCAACATCCATGTTTGCATATTAATGTTTACATTATAAATGTTTACATTATTGTCATTCTATCAACATTATTGGGAATGGAGCCTCCTAAAACAACATGATTGCTTTGCCTTTGCTGCACATCTTCTGTTTTCCCAGCATTTCATCGCTGCCTCATTTTTTTAGTTTATCAGTTTTCTATGTATATATTTATCTCTCTTCTATGCCCAAACTCTCCCTCAGTTGCTCAAACCTCCTCTCAATAGAGCAAACACATCAGATATTCCATCAGTGTTGCCTTCCTGAGAATGACTGTTCCCATCTGTCAGGTGCGGGGGCCGGTGGGGTTGGGGGGGCTTGGTGGTGTAGGGGGCAGGGCCAGTGAGCAAGCTAGGATTTGACTCAGCTTGTAACTGGGCCATCCTGGCTGCTGTGCTAGGAACAGACTGAGGAGGGCAGCAATTAGGGAGACCAGGAGGAGGCTATTTTAGTAATCCTGGTGTGAAACAAGGGTTTCCCAGGGCCCCTTGGGGTGGTTGCGGTGGAGATGGTAGGGAGTGGCTGGTTCAGAAAGATTTTGAAGGAAAAGCCAAGAGGGCTGGAGGTGAGGCAGGCAGGAAGGAAAGGAATTGGTACACCCGAGCGCCATGGATTAATGGATGAGATGGGAAGGCTGTGGGTAACTGCTTAGGGAACCGCCTCAGTCCATTTCACCTGCTGTAACAGACACTACAGACAGGGCAGCCTATAAATAACAGGCATTTTTTTCCTCACAGTTCTGGTGGCTGGAAGTTCAAGATGAAGGCACCAGCAGATTCAGTGTCTGGTGAAAGCGGCTTCTTCCTAGATGGCCATCTTTTCCCTGTGTCATCCTCACATGGTAGAAGGGACAAGGGAGTTCTCTGGGGTCTCTTTTATAAAGGCACTGATCCCATTCGTGGCATCTCTGACTCATGACTTAAGCTCCTCCTAACACCATTGCCCTGTGGGTTAGGCTTCATCACATGAATTTAGGGAGACACAAACTTTCAGTCCGTAACAGGGAAGATCGTGAGTTCAGGTGGGGCCACATCAGGTGTTGGGCTTTTTTTGGACATCAAGTGAGAGGTTGTGCATGCAGTTTGGGGTCTTCCATACCATATCCCTGTGTTCTGAAACATTTGATGCTGCCTGCTCAGTTGCTGTGGGCCCACTTTTCTTCCCTGTACCTGGCACTCTGTGATCCTCAACCCAGAAGCCCACACCCCTTAATTCTGCTACTTTTCTTGAATTTGCTTGATTATTTCCTCCCCTCTATCTTCTCTGTTCTCCTTTTCTGAAACTGCTATAGTTTTTGTATTTGCTTTTCTTTTGCTCTCTTGTTCTCCTTTTTTCCATCTTTTAGTATTTTTATTCTATTTCTAGAAGATTCTTCATCTCTTCTTTACTTGGGCTATAGCATTCTTAATCTCCAAGAACCCCTTTATGTCACTGGAAGGTTCTTTCTTAGAGCCTCTTGTTGATTTATGACAGAGAATTAGACTCATCTCTAGGATATGACACCTAGCAGGGTGGCAGCCAAGGCTGCACAAGTTCAAGTTTGGGCCCATGTTCAATGCCACAACCTTCCCTGAGATCTAGCTTTTTTTCCTCCCAAGGAAACCATCCTCAGCCCTGGCTGGTGTGGCTCAGTGGATTGAATGTTAGCCTAAGAACCAAAGCATTCCAGTCGATTACCAGTCAGGACATATGCCTGGGTTGAGGGCCAGGTCCCCAGTATGGGGTGCACAAGAGGCAACCACATATTGATGTTTGTTTCTCCCTCCCTTCCCCTCTCTCTAAAAATAAATAAAACCTTAAAAAAAGAAAAAAAATTTAAAAAAAAAAACCACCCTCAGGGTCCTGAGGGATCCCTGGGGCTCTCCAGGACTGATCGGCTGCCTCCCAAAGAATCATCACTACAGGGGAAGAGGGACACCGAGAAAATACACGTGCTACAAACTGTGTATGTGGTCCTACAGGTAATTTGTACTTGTTTAACAGCAAAGCCGTCAAAGCATTATTTTTATTTTAGAAAAAAAAATAACACGTTTCAGCCAACTAAATGAACTTCTGTGTCTGGTTGTAAGCGTTTTCCTTTGCTGTACCTAAAGTTTAAACAGCTGTCAACCTAGCTGAGTGTCAGTGTCCTGGCTCCAAGTCCTCTTAAACAGCAAAGGAGTCAATTGACCTGCAGGCTCTCCTAATCCCAGTAAGGGCTGGGGTTCAAGATGGGTTTTAATGCACACACTGTAAATTGTAATTCTGGGACGCGTTTGGACTAGAGCTGCGCTGTCCAGTCAGGATAGTAAATTAAAATGAGATTAAATTAAGTGAGATTAAAACCAAAACCCTTCGCGGGCCTCGCTCAGTAGCCACAGGGTCGCAGCGGGGACCCAGGGGGAACGTTCGCTCCCGGAACCCGGCGCCGCGGCGCCGCGCAGCGCGGAGAAATGCGCTCGGGCACCGGACGTGGGGTATGCGCGCAGCCGCGGTTCCGGTTTGGTTTCGACCCGGCGGGAGGAGGAGCGGGAAACCGCGCAAGCAGAGGTAGAACTCGCTGGCCTTCAGCCCCCTCCCCGCCCGCCGCGCGCTGGGGCGCCTGGTTCCGTTCCTCCAGCCTCACAGAAGTCCGGCCGAGCTCACGGCTGGCTGCTCCGGTTGCCGGCCCGCGTCCCAGCCCCGCCCCCTTCCTGCTGCTCAGTGACCACAGGTGCCCTTGTCACACGGAGGGAACCTGCCCTTTGCTGGGTGCTCAAGGGCAGGGTCCCTCTCCACGCAGTGGTCCCGGAAGGATGTTGCAGTTAGTGGAGTCTATGTTTAGCCATTGTTAGAGGGAGGCTTGGTCTTTCGTGCGCAAAATCTGTTCCGTTCTCATTGGGCCTGCAGGAATCGTCCTTGAGCTACTCCTTGGGGTCAGGTACATGTCTAAACAAGCATGGCAATACATAAGTGCAGGTGTTTGAAGGCCTTGTGAACAGGCCACTTTCCGGAGAAAAGGGAGACTTTAAAGAGGAGGTGATATTAAGCTGGGCTTTGAAGGATGATTAGGAGTTTGCCAAAAAGGGAAAGGGTGAGAATTTAAGATGTGGGAACGGGAATCACGTGTTTGGGGAGTTGTTGATTCCCCGCTGGGGAGGGGAGATGTTTGTGGTTTGGGCTTAGGTGAGGCCAGTGGTCAGGGGCCTACAAAGCTGGGTCCAGAAGCTCAGGGGTTACCAGTGGGTTTCAGGGGTCCTAGGTGGTTCCTGTGGTGAGACCTGACAGTCTAGTGATCTTTCCACAGTCTCTGCTGTGGTGGTTGTAAAACGAGGCTTCCTTGCTCTTACCCCGTATTCCAGAATCCCTCTTTGGAGCAGGCTGAATCGGTGGATTAAACCGTGGACCTGGGATTGTAAACTACATCCCTCTAGGTGGCATTTTTAAAATAGTATTTTACTTGGTAATATGGACAAGGGTTTAAGTGTGTGTTTTTTCCCTTTTGGTTTTTTGATTTGAATGTAGTACTCATGAATGCAACGTGAATGTCTGTTACTTAAAAATATAACTTTGAGAACAGCCTCCCCCAAACCGCAGGCATCATGTTGAAACAAATGTCCTCCACCGCAGGGAGAGTGTGGTCCACTTCTCACACCCCATGCCTTCCTCAGGCAGCAGACAACAGGAAGTGCTGGGGTCGCTTCAAATTCAGGGTCAGGGGGATGTTAATCAGTCAGGTGCCATTTCACTCATTTTGAAACCAGCCACCTTCATTTGAATGCAAGTATCATTCTTATCAAGTCATTTTTGTCATGCAGCTCCACTTGATTCCCCCTCGGTGTGTGCAGGTCATTCTCACCGAACTCTGTGTGCAGGTCTTGTTATTACTTTATCTATAGATGGAGAATGGAAGGCTTAGACAGGTGAAGAAAACTAGGGAAAAAAAGAGGATGTTCCACGTCTGAGACTGGGTTGACCCTAAAATCTGAACTCTTAACCAAAAGATGTAAACTTCCTGGTGCTGGGTGAGGATTCTGAGAAGTCTGTGTGCCCTGAGGATCTGATCCAAGAATCTGGATGGTTAGAACACCCAGTGGTCTGCCGGGGGTCTGGGTGGTTCCTGCCTTCCGTGCTCCAGGAGAAAACCGTCCTGGCTCACCAGCATACGGGTTTCTGTGCGTTCACATTGGTGCACAGTGACGCTGGTGATCTCAGATTGGTGGGGGTGCTAAGAGCAGTTTTATGAAGCTTGGCAATTGAAATAGAGAAAACACATGGTTGAATTTCGTTTACATGGTGGCAGTTGTGCCTCTGGCGGCAAGGAGGAGCCTCATGGTCAACGGGGGCCTTGTGGTTGGAAGGTGGGGGCTCTCTTCCTTGAGGGAGCTGTTGGTCTTTCTGGAGCTGGAGTGTTCAGGACACAGTCATCTTCCCTGAACCAGTGTCTTCTTTTTAATTGTTCAAAGCAGGCCCCGATGCACATGACTGAAGATTTTAGCTCTCTATTGAAAGCATTATGATGGAGTATTACAGTGTCACACACCTGAGGGACAAAAAAGCTATTTTCAAGGAGTGGTGGCCCCATGCTCTTATTGTCTGGAGGAAGAACAAATTAGTACACCCTCTCTGGAGGCTACTCTGGCAATATTTACCAAAATTAAAAGTGATTTTTGTTGTCAGACTCCGTGGGGAGCGCCATGCAGGGCCACTTCTCAGCATCTGCTCCACAAACACCCAGGTAGGAGCACAATTAGAGTTGCCACCTGTGTCTCCTTTGCACATTTGCTTGGCTGGCTCCCTCTCACCCCGAGCCCTAGCTCTACTGCTTCTCCCAGGAGGGCCTGTTTCAGGAGCACTTTGCTTAGAGGCCAGGACTGTGTCTGTCTGGCTCACGCCCAACCCCATGTGGGACCCAGCTAGGCGTTGCCACCTCCCAGACACTCACAGGCTAACGGCAGCAGATGCGGTGTGGGAGACACATAGGGCTCTTGCTGCTGCAGATACATGACCTAATTGGTGTCCGATGTAAGTGCAACATGTAGTCGAGCTGCTTGTGTCAAAACTTACTTTTTCGTTGTCTGCATAGAACTTTTATGGACCAGTAGCTTTAATTAAAAGAGGAATGCTGTTATCTCATTTTTATTTACTTCTATCACTTTGAGAAATTAAAAAGCTATAGATAGTTACACCCAGTAGATCCGTCCACCACACCCAGAGCCCACTTTTTGTTTTGTTTTTTTTGTGTGTGTAAAAGAAAAAATTAATGCTGAAGTCGAAGCATCTCCATTGTTAAAAAATAAATGACAATAGACTTTTAAAATTTCATTACAAAAGTCATACATGCTTATTGCAGAATAGTTGGAGAAAATGGAGAAGCACTAAGAGGAAAACAAAAATCACTTGTAGCCCTGTAACCTTGTGAACATCTGGGTGTTGCCCTCGAGTCTTCTGTTTAACTCTGACCATCCTTTTCCATTAGCGGTGTCGCAGGAGCCCCTCCCAGTCAGCACGTGCCACCCACAGTCGGGCTGTAGCCCCAGCACCTCACGTGTATATGCCCTGACTCCCTCAGACCTCTTCTGGACCACGTGGGTTAGTTCTAGTTTTTCAGTATTGTAAGTATCACTGCAGGGAACGTGTATGTGCATCTTCATTATTTTCTTAGGATGCATTTTAAAATACAACCGTGGAACAATTGACCCACATTTTCTGTTTTCCTATCTCATTTTGAAGTGATTGGAAAGTGCCCTTTGGGGTGGAGGAGTCGATGCCATGGGCATCACCTAGACTGGGACAGCCCTGCCGGCGACCTATGAGACACTGCTGAGTTAATACATGAAGTCCTCTTGTAACCAAACAAAGTAGATTTGGCCGCCTGCTGCAACAAAAGTTATACTTGTGAGGCAGGTGCTGGTACAAAAGGAGAGAGGTTTCATTCAGGTGCCTCATAACCTGGGAGAATGGTGGACTCCCTTCTCAAAGACCATCTCAATCTTCCTGCTCAACTTTGAGGTTCTTATAGGGATAGAGAGGGGAGGGCTTTTTGTCCTATGCAATTGTGTTGCTAGCTTTTGGCACCCTCGGGGCCCTATCCCTCTACCTTTCTAGTTTTCCCAGTGCGCTGGACCCTGTCCATTCATATGTTTAGCTTTTGCCACTGGGGTTCTGTCTTTTCAGATTTCTAGCTTTTGGTGCACTCAGGCCCTATCCATTCTTATTTCTAGCTCTCACAGCTCTCAGTGTAAGAGCCCCCTCCTCCCTGCCACTATCTTGGCTAATGGGGGAGACCCTCCGGTGCTTCTACCGACTGTCTCTGTAACCCTCTGTCAGTGCAGCTCCCCATGCCTGGCATTTCTCCATCACTGAGGTTCCTCACCACTGGGGTATAACAGGCAGGTGGGACCAGCCAGGCCTGGGTGTGGATCATCGCTTCACCTGTTATTACGTGGCCTCTGTTCCCTTGCAGTTGTTGCTGTGACTGCTCACTGCGTCCATTCACACTCCACTGTGCCTTTACAGCCACCCCCCAGACCCTAACCACAGCCCCAGGCTCGGGAGGGAGGGTGTGTCAGCCCTGTTTTCCAGTTTCCGTCTGGTGCTGACTGCCCCCTCGCCCAGCACAGTGCAGCTCCTGGTACCCCGGGAGAAGGAGGCAGAGGGGGAGGTACCTGTTCTCAGACCCCAGAGAGGAGGCCTTGAGGAGAGGAGAGTCACGTTGATTTTGATGGGTGCAGCTGTGGCATTGCATCTACACCCCTTTCATGCCTCTTCCTAGCTCATTGGTCCAGCCACCTACCTTGTGTCTATGTGAGCAGCACCTGGCTGCCAGACTGTTCTGCTTTTTAGCACCCCAGAAAGTGCTGCCACTTCAAACTGGTACCACTAGAACACCTCTCCTGTGCTCTCACCAGCAAGAAAGTGACCCGGAAACACTGCATAGTATGTTTTCTGTTTTCCGTTTTCAGGTCTGCTTTGTTTTCATCCCCCTGTCCCTGTCCCCATTCTACTGTGCCCCCCCTCCACCTCTGCCCGTCCAAAGCAAATAGAGATGAATTTGCTAGAAGTCAGAAAAGAAAACATGTTAAAGCTGCCCTGGTTTAGTTTCCACTGGCTTCTCTTCTTTCTTTCAGAAACTGGCATATTGCACATGTTTATTACATTTTTTGTTTTCTTTGGTCAAGCCTAGCTGTTCTCTTGTAATATGTCAGGTTTTTTACAGTAACAGAAATCCAGAGTGTAAAACCAGAAGTGAGCCCACCTCTGAACCATGTGTAGAGGGCAAAGGACAGAGGAGTCCCAGAGCACAGTCTGGCTTTTGATAGGTGACCTCTTTCATATGGAAACAGTGTAGGCAAGTGTACCTGGAAGTGAACTTTGTTAAAGGCCCTGGAGTCCTACGGAATATTTTCCCAGGACCTGGGAGCAGCCAGCCAGAGCTGAGAGGCCTCCACATGAAGCCCCTGTGGGCAGTGAGGGGTGTCTCTGAGGGGCTGGATCTCCTCCCACCTTGTATTGAGGTTGGAGCTGTTCCCTTCCTGGCCAGGCTGAGAGACTGTCTTCCTGGGAGCCGCTGGCTGCAGAAGAAGCCCGCTGAGGAGACTGGCAGGCCATTCCACACACTGAGGGTGTCAGTACAAAGCATAGCTTGGCTCAAGACATTTTTATTGTTGTGGAGTTTGTTTTGTTAAGTAATTATAAAGTGTTGTATATAGTCTGTTTTGTAAATTAAGAACAGAGAACAAAACTGTTTAGTGCATACATACAATGAGAGCAACATTTGTTTTCTCCCTGTGGCAAGTTAATGAAAAAGAAAAGTGAGGATTTGTCAGGGAAAACATGCTGAGCGTGGGAGAAACAGACCCCGCAGAGCAGTACTAGCGCTCTCAGGGAGGGAGGCAGCCTGGCCATGGGACAGCCTAGCCCGCCTCCTGCTGGGCAGGGCCACCTGCTGGGTGATTCCTGACCTCCCTTGATTTTCAGGGCCTTTTGGAAAGGGGGATGAGATTTATAGCTTTTATTCTATAATGTTGCTGGTGGCCCATTGGAAGGCATCCTGTCAGCCCCTGGCATTCAGGAGCACCCCCCTGGGGTTCCTGTGCCTGTCACCACCCTTCAGGACCAATTTAGCTGGCCCACTTGTCTGCTCCTGTCACGGACACTGCTCTGACCCAGAGCCACAGGAGCTGAGAGGGGAGCAGAGGCCACAGGGCATTTGGGGAAGGAGAAACAGAGACCCTTCTTGGCTCCAGAGGCTACAGTGGGGAGGAGGGATTCTGAAGGAGCTGTGAAATTGGGGGTTTCAAACCAGGGCAAATGGTTATTGACCTTAATAGACTGCACTGGCCCTGGGCAGGACCCATTTTCAATTAAGCTGCTAGCAAGGAGTCTAGGGTAGCAGGTGGTCTCCTGACCTCTTGAAATGGGCTAAACTTCAGTTAAAACTGCCATCAGTGCAGAAGCAATTTGGAAAGTGTGAGCTCATGCGGGACTGACACTGTGGGGAAGTGTCCTGGAGCAGAACGGGAGCCCAGAGTCAGACTTGCCCTCGAAGGCAGGTGCTGTGGACTGGCCGAGGCCCTCCCCAGGCCTCTCTTCTCTTTGACTTCAGAGAATTCTAGTTGAAAGTCAGCTGGTCACAGCCCCTCCCAGGGAGTTCTCACTGCTTGCTGACAATTTTGGTCATTATTTAGTAATCTTTTGGGGGAGAGAACGAAGAATTGTCAGCTTAAAAAAACAGACCGACAACATTCAAACTTGTGAACTTGCTTTATTTAAGACCCTGCACATCACCAGGTTCCCAGACATTCAGCGTGTGGGAAGCATTTGAACATAGAATCAAGCCCCGGGTCTGCGTGGGGTCCCTGGGGTCCCCTGGCCTCACCTGGTGATGGAGAGAACGTTTGCTTGGCGGCCCGTGGAACTTATCCCTCTTAGCTAGTCTTTTCCCAGGCTCAGGTTTTTAAAAACCATTGTTCAGAATTTACCTTAAGTGTGTGAGGGTTCAGAACGAGCTACCCCAAGTGTGCTGCAGTGCCATGTGGGTTATTTTGAGCTAGAGGCACCTGGGGCCCTGCGGGCTCAAGAAAAACTTATGTCTCCCACTCCTCTTAACTATCTAAAGGAATTGGAATTTCCTAATGGCCCATAGGAAGGGATTTTCAGATACAACCTCTCATGACCTGTCTGTGTGGCAGGGCAGACTTCTAACCCCTGCCCCTCTGCTCTTCCCGCTGCCCTGCAGTGACCTCCCTCCCCTTCGAAGGCCCAAGGTGCCTGGCCTCATCCTTCGCTCGGAATGCTGTACGCGCCTCGTTTTCCCCTCTGTCTCCGAAGCTCTTATATATGTGGGGTCTCGGACTCTCTCATGTATGTGAGACTTCCATGCACATGAGAGTAAATTCGATTTTCCCTTCTCATTCTCTTTCTCCTTGATTTGATTATCCATCTAGCCAAAAGAACCAGTGAAGGAAAAGGAGAATTTTTCCCCTTCCCCACAAGTACATTGAATTCTATATGCTTCTCCTTGGTTTTACCTATTTTAGTTCATTGTTTTAGATTCTTGTCTGTTTGTGAAATCCTTAAACTTATGAGATTCAATGTTGGACATTTAAATTCCAAAGGTGGTATATTGTGAGAGTCGGCATTTCTCACTTAGGAGGTTACTTTGTGAGGAAAAGTTAGGCCAACTCGTTCTGGTTGGGTATTGCGAATCTTCTGTGGAGGGGGGTAGGAGGGGGTAAGGCACAGTAGTATGTGGTACCCTCTCTTCCTCTTCCAGCCTCGCCCCAGGGAAACCGAGTTGATGTTTGTCGGTACAATGCCGCCCCACGTGGTGATGTCCTTCCGGCACCTGGTCTGTGCAGTGGCCACCCGCCAGCTGGCTCCCTTCAGACACGGAGGAAGCCGCCCTCTGCACGTGGCCCTGGCAGCCCACTCTGACAAGAGCGCCCCAGTGTTCACCCGAGCACTGGCCTTTGGGGACAGAGTTGCCCTCGTCGACCAGCATGGCCACCACACATACAAGGACCTTTACTGCCGCAGCCTCCGCCTGTCCCAGGAGATCTGCAGGCTCCGTGAGTGTGCTGGCCAGGACCTCCGGGAGGAGAGGATCGCCTTTATGTGCTCCAACGACGTCTCCTACGTGGTTGCGCAGTGGGCCTCGTGGATGAGCGGCGGCATCGCCGTCCCTCTCTACAGGAAGCACCCCCAGGCCGACCTGGAGTACTTCATCCAGGACTCCCGGAGCTCTGTGGTCCTCGCTGGCCAGGAGTATGTGGAGCTCCTGAGTCCAGTGGTCAGGAAGCTAGGGGTCCCACTCCTGCCTCTCCCACCTGCCATCTACGGTGGGGCGGCTGAGGACAGGGAGGGGGAGGTGCCGGAGCGGGACTGGAGAGACCGGGGCGCCATGATCATCTACACCAGCGGGACCACGGGGAGGCCCAAGGGTGTCCTGAGCACCCATCACAACATCAGGGCTGTGGTAAGTGCTTGCATGGGCCACCACATTTGGGAGGGGTCAATCATAGCCACAGTTACAGCGTGGCCACTGTGGGGTGCTGTGTTGTTCATTTACTTTTCTGTAGGGCCATTCACCATCCTGCCAACTCCACCTGAAACATGCAGCAGTAGGGGTCACGGTGTCATGTCACCAACAGTGCCACTGAAACATGCAGGGCAGCGCCTGTCAAAGGGCCGAGGGAATGCAGCACTCAAGTGCAGAGCATGTTACAGACCCACTGAGGGGCTACCCCAGGGCTGTGTGGCATGGGCAGGGCAGGTTAGACCACCGGATGTGACATTAAGGTGGTCTTCAGAGGTGAGCCGGAAAGCAAGTGTCAGGGCATGTGGTCAGCACCTACTATGGGGCTTATCTGTGAGACCTGAAAGCAGGAGCTCATGTGTGCCACCATCCTGGGAACTGTTTTTGTGTTCTGTAGCCTTAGTTACCATCTTTGCAAAACTCCTCAGCCACGTTATTTATCTGTAATTTATGCCTTTCGCCCTTCCAAAAAACCATTCAATGCACAATGAAGACTATTATACAGGAGCAATAAAATAAAACAGAAGCCCAAGCCGCAATACAAAGGAAGTCAACACCTTTGAGTCTTAGGCTAACTCAGCCCTGTAAGTCAGTGGTAAACTGAGTCTAGGCTGGCTGCAAGGGAGCACAATCGATACATGACTTTTACCTCCTAGAGGAGACATACTTTTCATCTGGAGAGACAGTCTCTTGACTTGTATTTCTAAGAGGAGTGAGTGATCATCTCAAATGTGTTTGCACATAGCAGTCACTGAGGCACACAGGACAACGTGCTCAGCGGGGACTTAAGACGATTCAAATGGGCGAGTCTCACACTGCTCCTCACTAAAAGCTGGGGATATGCCCAGCACACCCAGCGCGGGGCTCCCTCACAGCTGAGCTGAGCTGAGGACAGGGCTGGAAGCGGCAGGGAGCTCAGACAGGCCTCAGATGGTGCAGCTGGGTACAGCACTGGCCTCTGGTGAGGCCTGAGGTGCCAGGGCCTGTCAGAGCTGAAACTGCACCTCTGACCATCGGGGACGGGACCACCAAGAGTGTCTGCACCTCTGACCTCCTCGAGGAAGCCATGGGACACCAAATTAAAGACCCATTCAAACTGACTAAAGCCCTAGACTGTGACTGTTCTCAGCACAAGGGGAGCGGGTAGACCGTCAGTCAGACCCTCATCCTTCCATTATCACTTCCTATAGACACCATTAAGGATGGGGAGGAAAAGAATGAGCCTTCCTCTCCCTCCTCCTCCGCTCAGCTGGGGAGGCCCCCTCTGTGTTCTTCTGTTCGCGTAGTGGCTTCCTTCCTGTCTGAGGCTGTGGTGTTGTCCTGCAGGTGACGGGGCTGGTCCACAAGTGGGCATGGACAAAAGACGATGTAATCCTTCATGTCCTCCCACTGCACCATGTCCACGGCGTGGTCAACAAGCTGCTCTGTCCGCTCTGGGTGGGAGCCACCTGTGTGATGCTCCCGGAGTTCAGTGCCCAGCTGGTAAGTTAGAGATGAGCTCTCTGCGGGGCCCATTGTGCTCCCGAGGACCAGGCACCTTCCTCTGGTGTGGACATTGCCAGCAGTGCAAGTCTTCTGTTGCCATCGTAACAAATGACCCCAATCTGAGGGCTTAAAACAGCCTAAGTTTATTCTATTACAGGCAGAGGTCCAAAATGAGTCTCATGGAGCCAAAATCAAGGGGTGGGCAGGGCGGGCTGATTCCACTGGGAGGCTCCAGTGGAGAACCTGTCTTTCTCTTCCAATGTCTAGGGACCATAGTCCTCTCCTTGTGGCTGTGTCACTTCCATCTCTGCTTCTGTGGCTACCTGTCCCTGTGCCTCCCCCTCTTAAGGACCCCGGGATCACGCTGGGCCCACCCAGATATCCAGGGCAAGCTCCTCATCCAACGATCCTTAACTGAATCACATCTGCAAAGTACCTTTTACAGCATGAGGTGCCACATCTCTGGAGAGGAGGACATTTTGGGGCCATTCTTTGGTCAGCTGCCCTGGCTTTCTGGAGTGGATAGCTCAGCCAGGGACCCTGGGGCAGCCTCCTTGCTTATCCCCTTTGCAGCACCTTGTTCTTTCCCAATGTGCTGCGGGGTCGCGGGGGCATGCACAGGTGGTTGTGGCTGTGTGGAGCGGGAAGTGTGGCTGTCATGGAGCAGAACACAGCCATGAAGGACACTGTTTTGAGGGGAAAGGACCTGGGGCCTGGCCCTGCCACTTGACACTTGTGACCGGGCACATAGCTCTTGCTTGGAGCCTTTTGGACCCTGTCCTGAGCCCCCTGGCACAGCTCCAGGATGGGGTCTCGCAGGCAGGGCACTGGGACTTCCTTCTGTCCTCCGTCAGCCACCAAGCTCTGCCTTCATCTTCTTATGTTTTATTTTTCAGCTGCAGGATTCTGAATGTTTTTAGGTGACAGAGTCTGATGCTGCCTTTCAGGGCAGAGTGTTGAGGTACCCTGCGCCCTCCAAGATAAAGGCCTATGCATGGCCTGCTGGCCCAGGGGTCAGGCCACTCCCTCTACCCTCTTTTCCTTGTGGGTCTCTGACTGAGGGTCCTTCCAAGTCTGTGATTCTCAGCACTGCTTCCTCTAACCCGCAGATCGCCGCACTGAAGAGAGGGGTGGCCAGCTGGGTTGGGGGTTGTGGGGGCGACTTCTGAGGCTGCTGTCTGCTTGGCAGGGAGTGACTGCTAAGGGCAAGTGGGTATGGTCACAGGGCCACAGGAGAAGAGCCTCACCTCCAGTGGGGAGGCTCACCTGACCGAGAGGTTGGTGTACAAGAGTCAGCTGTACTGTGAGCTCTCCAAGACCCCTAATTCTGCACTCACTGGCAGGGCCTCCCTGGACTGAGACGTCACACAGGGAAGCCCCATCCTTGGGTACTGCGCGCCCCTCTCCCAGCACAGCCCACTCTGCTCCACCAAGTTCTCTCAGGAGCCAGAGCTGCACTTGCAGACTCCCTCTGCCCACACCCCAGTGCTGGCTGATTAGAGGGGAAAGGAGGAAGAGCCGAGTCCCTAGATTCCCCATAAACCCAGGGAGAGCAGGTCCCCGCCCTGGCCCAGAGCCCCAGGAAGCCCGGACCAGGAACCCAGCGGCTGAGCCCCAGCCACTGACAGACTTCTCAAGCAGATGTTGCCAGAGTCCTCACTTCCCAGGGCTGCTTGAGGAGCAACGGGAACACCCAGTAGGCCTGGCAGGGATGTGCTGTGGGATGGGCAAGCAGTGGAACAAATACAAATCAAGCAGGTCTCTTCTTCCCCAAACACAGAGACCCAGGGATGGTGAACAAAAGCAGAAAGGAAGTGTGGCTGGTCTTCCTCCCTGGCAGAGCCAGGCCTTGTCCCCTTCTCCCCTCTCCCAACACCACCATTTTTCTGCAGTCGCACTGGCTGCCCTGCTTCCCACGGACTCCGCACACCCACTCAGTCAGCACTCTGTCCCTGCCAACCCTCAGCCTGTCCTTGGTTTGTTTGCCTCTGCAAGTCTTTGCTCACACATCACCCAGCAATGCCCAGCCACTCACCCTACAGCCGTCCCTCCCCAGCCCACCCTGGCCCGACTCTACACTGTTTATCAGAGCACTCACCACCTGGAATCCCCGCAGAATCATCTCCTCTGTCCCACTAGCGGGCCTACCCTGAGGACACAGGTTTTCCTGCAGTTCACAGGTGTCCCCAGGGCCTAGCGCATAGAGGGCATGAGTGTTAGTGAGTGGATGGGTGGTGAGTGGTTATCGAGGTGATGCATGGGCTCCTGGGCCTCTCAGTTCTCCACTGGCTCTGAGGACCCTGAGGACACGCTGGTGGGCAGCAGGTCCGCACCCCTCTGTATTATTTAAACATCATGGCAGGCTGAATCTGCAACAGGCATCGGGAGACCAAGTCCCATAAATCACATAGGGGAGAGGTTATTTGTTTAATAAAGTTTTACTGTATTAGCTCCTCTGAAAGCAGCACATAAATAGATACAATGTAACATGATCGTCTACTTAAAATTTACTACCATAGTCCCTTAAAGTGATAAACTTCTCTGCAAAACTCTGCCTCCATGCATGTTTATAACCGCCAGGATGGCAGGCTCCATGTGCTCGTGGCCTGTGCCCGTGGACAGCTCGATGCAGGGGTGGGCTCGTCCGTGTCACTGGCTGTGGGAGAGTTCACACGGAAACATGGCGGAGAGCCTCCTTGGCGCGCGGAAGGCCCCACCTGCCATCCTTGGTTTTCCACCCTCTGAAGAGGTCTTGTGGGCTCAAGCTTGATGGAATTGACTTTGTTGAATATATCCCTGTGTAGCTTAGGTGTTGTGGAAATGAGAATACATTTTGAACGAGTAAGTACTCAATGGAGAAAACACCTACAGGGTTTTTATATCTGCCGCCAGGGCTCCAGGTTTTGTGTATTCTTTGGCCTGCTGGGCACCGTCCTGCCTCTCCACAGGCGCCCCACCGAGGGGCCGGGAAGCACAGGGGTGCCTTACACCCCAAGCCTGCCGCACTGTGAACAGAGGGGGCTATCGTCTGTTAGGATGCTCCTTCCTCCTGTTGAGGGGTTGGGGACAAGAGAGGCTACCAGGGCAGTTCGCAAGGAGGGTCGGATCTCAGACCTTCAAGCTTCTTGGCACTAAGTTGGAATTTCTCAGAACTGTGCAGCGGAGCTAAACATTAAACAAATTTCATGTGGTGGTTGATAAAGACTGCAACCCTGAGTTTCAGAATTTTGTGAATTTAGAAATTTATGCTAGTAAAATCCTGCTTTCAGCATTGTTAAATACTGGGGGGTTGTTTAAGCTTATATTTAAGAACTTAGTGTAAACCGGTGGTATGGGGTGGCTGGAAGCCTGCAGTGGTGTTTAAATTGTAGCTCCCAGGGTCCTCAGGTCATCCCGCTGAACAGAATGCATGCTAACAGTGGGGTGGCAGGCTGTCACATCCTGCGAGGCTGACTGATGAGGTGACAGTGACTCGGAAGACAGACGGGAAGATGGATGGGCGAACTGCCTGATGTCCCCCCTGAGGAACAAAGTCTGGCTGTTGATGAGCTGTCCAGAGTCTCAATCGATTTCTTGTCCCAGCTGACTTTGCGCTGGACGACTTCCTCGGGACTGGCGGCAGGAGCACTAAATCAGGGCAGGACCACGGGGCCGGTATGCGTTCCTCTGTTGGCCTCCTGGGGGCCTGCTCAAGGGCAGGGACTCTGCCCCGCAGGCAGCTGGGGAACCACCGGTGCGTTCTGTTGAGGCCAGCACCCCTGCCCACGACACCCTTTCCTGTGGTTAAACATGCCTCCCTGTCTGACTTGTGGCCTCAGACCAAGTTCATTCTGGGGTCTGAGAAACTGGATCTTGTTTAAGTGGGTGGGTGACGGGGTGGTGATTTCAGGTAATGTGTGTATCAAGGCACGGGCAGAGTCCTGCTGTGCAGCAAAGAACATTATGCTGCACTGGCCCCATAGATCTGATCCACGGTGTGGGCTCACTGGGTGCCAGGTCCTCTCAGCCCGTCAAATCTACCCCATAGTGTGCAGTTGCGGGTTAGTAGGTGCTCACACCTCAGATCTGCTCTACAGCGTGGGGGTCACTAGGGCAAGAGGCACTCACTAGGCCTTAGGAGCCAGACGGGCAGCTCTTTTCCCATCTTGTCTTTCATTATGGAGTGCCCTTCCTTATTGCCAGATTTTGGCCAGAGCAACTGAAAAACAGAAAAAGAATCGCTTCCTGTTTGTGGTGAAGAATTACCAAAACTAGGTGATGACTTCATCCGTGGGGGTCGTTGCTTTAAGCTGGTTAAGTGTTGCAGTTTCTCACCTGCAGTCAGTCCTTTCCCTGCTTTTGCTCAGCTCGGCAGTCCTGCCCGTTAGGGTCCGAGCCAGGGTTTCTGGTCCTGGCTGCACAGCAGGGTCACACTGGGGAGATGGTGAGTGAAAGAAGTGCCTGCACCCCTCACATCCAATGTCTGGCAGGACCCCGACTACCTGCAGCCCAACTTGGGAACCGCTGTTTGGTCTTGCTGTGATAGTTCACACCAGAGCAGATAGGAGCATTTTCACCAGTGAAATGCAGGGCGCAGAGAGGGAGCCCCCAGAGCTGTGATTTTTAAGTTACCGATGTGTTGGGGCAACCTGGAGGAGGAACACTGCTGATTTAAATACCTGCTTCAGCACAGCAGCTGCCCTCTTTGCTGATTTGCGTGACTCTGAGAATGGCGAGGCCTTCCCAGCTGCATGTGAGTTTCAGGTGGATGCCTCTGTGCCAGGGTCAGATGTCCCCATTGATGACCACAGGACCAGTCGGCATCCTTCATTTGGCTGCCTGCACTCCATTCTTCTTCTAGCCCCCTGTGGGGGTCTGGGTGGGACCATGTGTGTGGCTAGGGGAGGAGGCCTGGCCAGGACCCCAGGCCAGAGTGGACAGAGGGCCCACAAGGCCTGTCCTCCCTCCTCTCATGCCAGAGCATGTGCCTTACCCAGGACGTGGGCAGTTTAATTCTC